CAGCCTTTCTACTACCCTTTCTCAGAAATTTGTTGCTTCTGTGTCACAGGATTCTTTTCATTCTCAGAGGGAAAATGGTAGATATTCTAATCCATCATCTTTCCCTGCCTCTTCTAAAATACTTTACATAGAGTTTGAGTGTACTGTGTATATTTGAAAGAAATACAGTAACTTAAGTTATTAAAACATATATCAGTGAACTTTTGAAAATGAACTGTATGTTTTCAGTGTGCTATATTACTACTAAAGGAAATGCAGTTAGGTAATGTTGATAATGTGATAAGAGATGAATGAGTTAAATTTATATGGAAAAGAAAACTTTGAAGCTGGCATTTAATGTGCTGTTTTGGTTTATAATTTGAAGTATATTTGAATTATATTCCTTTACAACTTTAAAAACTACATTTCATGTCTGAGTATTTGTGGCTCATGTTTTAAATGAGCTAATTGGGAGGCAGAGAATGAGAACATAATATTCTGAGGCCACCTTGGGAAGAAAATTTCTCTAGACCCATTCTCAACCCATAGCTGTGCATAGTATCACATTCCTGTTATCCTAAGCTATGTGGAAGGTTGAAATTGGGAGACTCCTGGTTCTATGCCAGCTTAAGCAGAAAAATCCAATGGGTGGGAATAGTGTCATCCCAGAAGTATAGAGAAAAACAAATAGGAGGACTACAGTCCAGGCCAGCCTAATAAAAAACCAAGACTATGTCTTGAAAAAAACAAAAAGTGATCTGGTAGAGTGGCTCAAGTGTTAAAGCCCTGGGTTCAAACCTAAACCTAAATACTGTTAACAACAACAATAATAATGATAACACTGTTTCATAAGCATACTTTGCAAAACCTTCATTTTAATTTTTTTAATGTCTGTATTGTTATTGTAAAAGTGATGTACATAAATCACATAAAGAATAATTTTTTTTTTTTTTGCCAGTCCTGGGACTTGAACTGTGGGCCTGGGCTCTGTCTTCTGTCCTCTGTCCCTGAGCTTTTGATCAAGGCTAGTGCTCTACCACTTGAGCCACAGCGCCACTCCAGTTTTTTTTTAATAGTTTATTGGAGGTAAGAGTCTCCTCAACTTTCCTGACCATAATGGTTTTAAATCAAGATTCTCAGATCTCTGCCTCCTGAGTAACAAAAATTACATGCATGAGTCATGACACCCAACTAAGAATACATTTCCTTTTCAACAATGTCACCCCTTCCCTTGCTCTCTCCAAGTTTTTCTTCCTATTTCCACACCCAAGTTGTATAGTTCATTTTCAACATAGTGTCTAATGAGTTTCACTGCTACATTTGTTTACCCTTTGTCCCACCATTTCCATGCCACTCCCTTACCATCCCAAAGACAGATAAACAAATGAACAGGACAAAAGGAAAAAACAAAACCAGCAATAAAGAAAAATAATTCTTGTTTCTATTTCCTTGAGTTCATTTCAATAGATATTATTTTGTATGATCAGATGCTCATTGCTAATGTATCTTTGTGATCCTCTCCTAAGAATATCCTCCCTTGTTCTCTCTGTGTGAATGCCTAGAGATCTTTATAATATATGATGTTCTAGCGTATTTTTTTCTTTACCATGCAGTGTATTTACTTGTAGGTTTATAGGCACATTCTAGTTACCACAAATGGGGGAAAACATGCAACCTATGTTTCTCTGGCTTACTTTGCTTAATATAATTTTTCCAAGCATTTCCATTTCCTGACAAATGGTACAATATCATTCTTACTGATGGAGGCATAGAATTCCCTTGTGTATATATACCTCATTTTCTTGATCCATTTGTTCACTTTTGGGCATGTGAGTTAATTCCATATATGGGTTATGGTAAACAATGCTGAAATGAATGTAGTATGTTATTAGCTTTAGTGTGGCCTTGTTTGTGTTCTATTGGATAAATATCCAGGGGTAGAATTGCTGGATCACAAGGAAGCTTTATATTTAATCTTTTGAGAAACCCTCATATTGCTTTCCAGATTGGTTGAACAAGTTTATATTCCCACCCACAGTGTAGCAGAGTTCCCTTTTGGCCATATCCCTGACAGCATGTGTTATTGCTAGTTTTCTTGATAATGGCCATTCTAATTGGGGTGAAGTAGAATTTCAATGTTATTTTGATTTGAATCTCAATGTTATTTCTTGATCAGAGATGCTGAACATTTCTTCATGTGTCTATTGACTATTCTTCTTCTAAGAGGTCTCTTTTAAAGTATTTTAGCCAATGTATTAATTGGGCTGTTGTTTCTTTGAGGGTTTAATGTGGGGGGAGGGGGGGTCGTCAATTTTTAAGCTCTAAGTTTGCAAGTGTTAAGGAAGAAATTCGTTTTGTAGCTTTTTAGAGCCACAATTCAGTGTTCACATGGATAGTCTCTAGAAGTTTTACCACAAAACAGTAGCTAATGATTTGGCTCAACACACACACACACAAAAAAATTATCTCTTGCCTCTATAACATAGTTTATCAAAAAGAAAAAACTCTTTTACAAGCCAGGCACAGGTGCCTAATGACAATAATCCTAGGTAAAAGACTAAAGTCTAAAAGACTCTTATATCCAATTAACTGGCAAAAAGCCAATAATGGAGTTGTGGCTCAAGTGGTAAAAGTGTCAGACTTGAATGAAAAGCTAAACAAGAGTGACAGGCCCTGAGGTCAAGCCCCAGTTCTGGCACCAAAAAAAAAAAAAACAAGCAGTCCCTCCCCCACAGTATAACCCCTGCTTTCACTGTATTTGATGTCGGTATAATTTGTGGAGGGGAAGGGAAAAAACAAATCATTTAAATAGTGATACAGGTGGACCCATTGCAACAATGAGATATACAAGTCGTTATGTCGAAAATGAACTTTACAACTTTGGTGGAAGGGGACTGGGTAGAGGGGCAGGGGGAGGATGGGAAGGGGAAACAAAGGAGGAGGCTACAATGCTTGATAAGAAGTGTACTCATTATTTTGCCCATGTAATTGTAACCCCTCTGTACAGTATTTTCACAATAAAAATAAAATAAAAATAAAAACAAACAAAAAAACACACTCTTTTCCTTCCTGAAGTCATTTTGCAGTTTTGAACCTTAAAATTAAAAGTATTATATTTCTGTAGCACCATTAATAGTTTAATATTTAGAATGAAAAGATTGAGTTAGGGTACTGTTTTATATTCTATGATCCAATAAAATAAAATAATCTAATTTGCTGTACAGTAAATGACTTTCTTAACAATTATTAAAGGAAAAAATAGGTTAAACAGCTATTTTTAGAGTACCAACTAATCAACATACAACTATACAACTTGTAAGTAGGGATGGGAGGGAAAAACTGCGAGAGAATGAGGAAAGGAGTGCCATTGTCCAAAAAGAAGTATACTCTTTGCCTGACTTGTGTAACTAAACATTCTGTACATCATCTTCATAATAACAATAAAAAAATTTTTAAGCAGAAAGAAATATAAAGGCAGCAGAGAAAAGTAGAAAGTAGTATAGTTTCATTACCAGCCCCCTAGGGCAGGGGCATAAGAAAACTTCACAAGCTATATACCTCAATACATTCATTTTTAAGTAAAAGACTGGAAGAAGAAGTACAAACAAAAACCAACCAAAAGAAAGCTGTTGTAACTATGCTAAAGCAAGAAAAATTATTTATGAATCAAAAGACTGGGGTACACTCAACACACTGAGAAAAAGAATCAATTCAAAAAGAGAATCTCACTGGGTACCAGTGGCTCATACCTATAATCCCAGCTACTCAGAGGCTGAAATTTGAGGATCACAGTTCAAAGCCAGCCCAGGCAGGAAAGTCCATAAGACTCTTTATCTCCAATAAACTACTCAAGAAAGCCAGAAGTGGTGCTGCGGCTCAAGTGGTAGAGTACTAGCCTTGAGCAAAAAGAAACTCAGGGACAGCACTAAGGCCCAGAGTTCAAGCCTCAGGACTGGCAAAAAAAAAAAAAAAATAATAATACAGATGCTAAAATATGTACAGTTCTTTAGCAGGTTCAAAAACTCAGAGCTCTTAGTGAAGAGACTATAGGTTAATGCAACATTCATCTTGTCATTCTTTTACATTTCTAAATATATCACCCAACAACCATAAAATACCAGAAGAAGAAGAGGAAGAAGAGGAGGAGGAGGAAGAAGAAGAAGAAGAAGAGTTGGAGGAGGAGGAGGAGGAAGAGGAGGAAGGGGGGAGAGGGGGAGGAGAAAAGGGGAGAGGAAGGTGAAGGAGGAGGGGGAGGGGAGGGGAAGGGAGAAGAACTGGCTAATTTAAGAAGACTGTAATTACATAACAGACCCTATCACAATTTGTGCTATATTCCCTACACTAAAGTCTCAAACCTTTAAGAAGTATTAGTGAAGAATTTAAAATAATTATTTAACAAGATAAATAAAGAATAATTACATTTAAAGTGTCTCATCTTTAAAAACTAGGGATCACTTGCAGATATGATTATTTTGAAGCTAAAATTGTAAAACCAAACCTATAAACTGTTTATCTGCAAACTGAAGATGAAGAAATTAAACTAAGATCAGATCAAAACCGAAATTGTTTTTAGTAGTTAACTTTTCAAGATGTAATATTAATGTTTTCACAAAAAAAATGCCTGCTATGTCTTATCAAATGTTATGAGTAATTATATTTCACTTTACCAGCATAATCAAACATACAGCATTCATACTTGGCTTGTTTATCTATTTAAACATGCATATTAACAATTCCATAGTTACCTATGTGAGGCCCACAGGCAAATTAAGTGAACCGTTGGTAAATAATAATACTCATAATGTCTTTTAAATAGAAAACAGATCCAGAAATTTGTTCTAGGAAACAAAACTGGATTGCTTAATCCTTACTAGTGACTTCAAACATAAGCTATAAATATCCACTTTCACAAGAAATAGATTATAATTTAGGTGGAACATGCTAGACATGCAGATCTGAATGACAGTAGTCAGCTCTAAAACATAATTTCCACTTGACCATCAACAAAATTGCTCACTTACTTGTAGTTTGGAAGACTTCATTCATCAAAGCTTCATTCACTGCTAAAGAGTTCACATTTCCAATATGAGACCAACTTTGATAGATTGCCTGCAGCATAAGTGTCTGAGCTCTTGTACCTTGAATTGTAAGATTTGGAAGTTCAAATATACCTTCAGTAATGACAATCTGAGATTGTTTGGTCCTACATAATAAAACAGAATAAAAGTATGGTAAATAGCATTATAAACACCACACTGTTTTGTAAAGAAACACAGAAAAGGGTAAACATTCAAAATATTTTCAAACTAAATTAAATCAACTAGATTGCAATTCTCCAAATGTTTCAATATTTCAAAAAGTCTTACAAATCATGTAAAACACAAATACAAATTCTATATACTTGTAAGTTCTGTTGCATTAGTTAGATTTTTCAATCAAATTAATCACCCCAAATAAAAATGATAGTCATTGAGTTATAGAAGAATTACTAGTAGATCTGCACTGTTCTAAATATCATATTTTTTAACACATTAAATTTTGTCACTGTAACTACTCCTTTTTCATATACAAAAGCCAGTAGACACACAGATAAAATTAAATACAAGCTACTATCAAGCAGGATAGATAGCACCTGTCTGTAACCTCTGCTACTCAGGTAGATGAGATCAGGAGGGTTACTGTTGAAGGCCAGCCAGAGCAAAAAGTTCCTGAGACACATCTCAAGCTGGGCATGGTCATCTATACCAATCATCCCAGCTACGGTAGTTAAGGTAAATAAGAGGATAGTGGTCCCAACCAGTCCAGACAAAAAGCAAGACCAAATTACAAAATAATCATAACAAAAGTGCAAGAGCCTAACAGGCTCAAAGGCCTGCATTTAAATCCCAGTGTGTGTGTGTGTGTGTGTGTGTGTGTGTGTGTGTGTGTGTGTGTGTGTGTGTGTGTGTGTGTGTGTGTGTGTGTGTGTGTGTGTGTGTGTGTGTGTGTGTGTGTGTGTGTGTGTGTGTGTGTGTGTGTGTGTGTGTGTGTGTGTGTGTGCAATGCAATGTTATTCCAAGTGATCTGAGCTAGGGACATTCACACTATCCTTCTTCCTACAAGTATTTATGAAACAGTCACAATATATTCACTTCCTATAACAATGACTAGGAATTTTTTTAATTTTTTAAATTCCCAAAGTATCTATTTCACTGATACCTTATTCTTCTGATTCTGTCTGTGACTAGTGTTAAATAAAACAAAATGATATACCATCCTTATGAGTCACAAGGAAGAAAGATATTGCTTAAAGACTAACTGAAAATGGATCCTGAAGAATACAAAGTATTTCAACAAAAGCACTTCAAAAATTCTTTAAGGAAAAACAAAATATATCCAATTATTTTAATGGCTAAAAGATCTGAATAGGAAACTCACAACGATGAAACCAGGAATGACCAATAAATATGCTAGACCATAAACCATAGCTCTCAGTCTTCACCAGGTAAAAGGTCTCATTATTCTCAAAGAAGGCTTACACAATGATAGGTTTCGCAGTATTATATTATTAAACATGAGACAATCTCATTGTCAAATAAATTATGATAACTTCATACAAAACTACTCAGACAATAAAAGAATAAAGGTTTATTAACATGAAAGATCATAAAATATGTTCAAGTAAAAATACAAAATTGTAAAATAATGATTTCATATAATATGAAATGGTTATCTACACATAAAAGTTATTTCTGAATGTGTTAATATACTAAGATAAAAAGTTATGAGAACAATAAATAAGTTGTTCTTACTTGAGAGTATGTGTGGGTTGGGACAAATGGGAGGAAGGGGAATGATGGAAGGGTGACACAGATGAAGATGTCTTTTAAGCATCAATTGACATGTTGAACTGAAATCCCTTTACACCATTACTTAAAGATAATAAGTTAATTATTTTAACTGCAAAGGCCAGATATCAGTATAATCAATGTACCTCTATGTTAGATATAAAATATGAACTTATAAAAATGCATACAGGGCTATACACATATTTATATATAAAATCAAACTGACTAAAGTATGATATACACAGGGTTAGATTTCCATGATATAACACTTTGGAACAATTAACAGACAATTTAACAAAATGAGTATCAGAAAGATGAAACATGCCTTGTGTGAGAAGAGTAAGAATTAAGGGAAGAGAGTAGATGAAGAAAAGAATGATGGACAAATACCGTCTTAATACTTAGATGAATGAAGAGAAGAATGGTGGATAAATACAGTCTTAATACTCAATGTACCTAATACTCAATGTAAAATTGGAACTAGAAAACTTGAGGGCAAGGTGGGATTGGGATGGATGGGAGAATAATGAAAGGGGAGAAAATGATCAATATGAATTGTACACAAAATCACCTGTTAAACTAAATCCCTTTATACAATTATTAAAAGATCATTTTAAATATTTTAAAAGGTAAAGTCAAGATATCATTATCGATTAATCCAACTGCTCCTATTCCAAGTTTATCGATTTTATTCCTCCTCTTTGAAACAAACCCCACCTCCCTAAGCCTTTTTTAGTGATGGGCAAAAATGACAGAAAAGCCAAAAAGTCTCATGAAAGTTCCTCATAAAAGGAACAAAGAATCTAACCCAAATGTTAGGAATTGACCTTTTAAAAGCAATTTAAAACATTTATGAAAAGTATACTATCCATATTATACTCAAGGATGAAAGGCTGAAAGCTTTCTTACCAAAATCAGAAACTAAACAAGAATGTCTGTTCTTGCCCTGCTATTCAGCTCTATAAAGCCAGGTACAGTGGTGTGTCCCTGTGGCCCCAGAAACTTGGGAGAGAATGGGGGAGACTTGTCAGTCCCTATTCCAAGAAAAAAATTCGAGAAGTTCCAAACAAGAAAAATGAGTAAGACCTTCAAACTGCAGCATTAGAAATAAAACTATCACTACTAACATATTACAATATTTTTTAAAAACTTCGAGCTAATAAATGAATACAACAAAGTTTCAAATTACAAGATAAATCAATCTTACATTTATGTGATTATAACTTACAATCTAAAAATGACATTAAGTCTTAAAACAATTTCATTTCTATTACCATCAAAAAGAAAAAAGTTAAAGTCCTCAGAGAAAAATATAACAATGTTTTGTGTACTACAAACTACAAAGTATGATTTAAAGAAATGAAGATAACTTAAAGAAATGAAAAGACAATTCATGTTTATGGACCAAAAAACTTTATTTTTAAGATAGCAATATTGATTCCATAAAGCAATCGATAGATAACCCCTTCCCAATAAATAAAGAATCCCAGGTACCTATTTTAAAGAAATGAATATACCAATCTTAAAATTCACACAGAATTGCAAGGGATCTATTGGCTAAAACAATCTTGAAAACGAATAAAGTTGAATAGCAGCAGTGCCAGTTCCATGTGGAGAACGCTGGACGGTGTTTCTCCAGCAGCTGCAGTTCTCATTACAGCACCAGAACGAGTTCTGTTCTTGTTCATCCACGGAGATCTCTTTCATCTCCCTCGGCTGCGGGAAATCAGACTGTGTGACTGAGTCCACGATGGCTTAAGCTTTGAAACCACAGAAGGAAGTTTGAGAAACTACTACAAGCAATGGGGAAAGCTCACAAACTGTGGTTATGAGAGATCCTGCAAGCAAAAGATCAGGAGGATTTGGTTTTGTAACTTACTCATCCATGGCTGAGGTTGATGCTGCCATGGCTGCCAGGCCTCATTCAGTTGATGAGTGGTTGAGCCAAAAAAAAGAGGAGTCTGGAAAACCAGGGGCTCCTGTGACAGTGATGAAGCTGTTTGTTGGTGGAATTAAAGAAGATACTGAGGAACATCACCTTAGAGATTACTTTGAAGAACATGGAAAAATTGGTACCCTTAAAATAATTACTGATAGGCAGTCTGGAAAGAAAAGAGGCTTTGGCTTTGTTATTTTTGATGACCAAGGGCCTGTGTATAAAACTGTATTGCAAAAATGTCACACTTTTGGGCTGGGAATGTTGGCTTAGTGGTAGAGTGCCTGCCTAGCATGCATGAAGCCCTGGGTTCCATTCATCAGTACCAATAAACAGTAAAAGCCAGATGTGGTTATGTGGCTCACGCGTAGAGTGCTAGCCTTGAACACAGAGAATCAGGGTCAGAGCCTAGGGATGGAGTTCAAGCCCCAGGACTGTCAAAAAAAAAACAAAAAAAAAAAACCACTACCAATGGTCACAATGCATAAAAAAGGAAGGCACTGTCTAGACAAGAAATGCAAGAGGTCCAAAGTTCTAGGAGTAGAAGAGGAGGGAACTTTGGTTTGGGGGATTCTAGCCGTGGCAATGTAAAATTTGGACCAGGACCCGGAAGTAACTTTAGAGGAGGATCTGATGGATATGGAAGTGGTCATGGATTTGGGGATGACCATCATGGGTATGGAGGAGGACTTGGAGGTAGCCCTGGTTATGGAGGAAGAAGAAGAAGAAGAGGATATGGTAGTGGAAGTCATGGATATGGCAACCAGGGTGGGGGCTAAGGTTGTTAAGACAGCTATAGAGGAGGAAATTGTGGACGTGCAAATTACAATGGTTTTGTAGATTACAACCAGCAACCTTCTAACTATGGTCCAATGAAGAGTGGTGGCAGAAACATGAGAAGACTATATGGTGGAGGAAACTATGATCCAGGAGGCAGTGGTGGAAGTGGTGGTTATGGTGGGAGCAGCCAATACTGAGCTTCTCCCTATTTTCCATAGAATTCATTGTATAAATAGGAGAGGATGAGAGCCTGGAGATAACAGAACAGTTCCTACTTATCAAAATAAAGAAGTTAAGAAAAATCTTATCTCAGTCATGAATAAATATACAATGGTAAGGCAGAAGACGCCAGGGCATATGCAGAGAGCCATTTTGTGAATGGATTGGATTATTTAATAACCTTACTGTGGAGCCTTTGAGACAGTTTCTTAATTTTTTAATTGTTGTTTCTTTCTCCTGGTCTTTGTAAGAGTGTAAAAAGCATTCCTTTTTTGATAATGTTAAGTTTGTAAGTTTCAGGTGATCTGTGAAAACTTTAAGATTTTTCTCAGAAGTTTTGAAAATCTATAGCCAGGATCATGGTGTACTAAGACATAACATTTTTCCTTGTGTAGCTGGGTGCTTGGTGGCTCACATCTGTAATCCTAGCCACTCAGGAGG